GATCATGATGCCCAGAGACTCGATCACCTGCAGCAAAGCACAGACACGACGATGATGGGAAAATTCATGATTAACATCAAAACTGATAGCATGAACACTATTCTGCTGCATAGACCTGTCGCAATTATTTATATATCGACGATATTTGTGATGCAATGTGCTATGATCACCAGCAATCTAGCTCCTTGTCATTCACCCGAACTACATATATGCCATTGGACTGCACTATATATCCCATCATGCACCTCTGTTGCACACCACATCACCATCTCCATCAAAAACTCCTTTTAACATTGAAAGGATCACTTTTATAATGAGTCGGAAGGCCAGTCACAATAATCAATATCTTGTCACACAACACATGGACATGAGCTCAGTCATTTTTGGTAATGCAGATTGTGCAACATCTCTATCTCTATTGGAGCTGTCAGTGTCAGTATGATTAAAAACACTGTGATATTTAATATAAATGACTAAAGTATATTCTCATGTGGGTGTCTGACGACAGACAATAGATCTGGCAGAAGATATCGCAGCCTCTGTTTCTCTCTATCTTGCACTTTTGTGTTCACATTTATTATTATTTATTTAGAATATGCACCGCTTTCACATTCTGACTTCAATGCCTCATTAATAAACTGTTAAAATGACTATAATTACATTAAATATTCTTAATAATAAAATATGATGTGTTCTCTGGAAGAGTGCACTTGCATTGTGATGATATTATACTGTCATTCTGGCATTATATAAAGATGAGTGGCATAAAATGGTCATAAAATAACAATAATATCAGTTATCACAATATATTTAGGTGCAATATATCGTACGACAACAAATAGATATTGTGTCAGGCCTGTGTGTTGCCATCGCATTAATAAAAAATCCTGAACTCCAAGAAATACCCAAGAGTCTCCCGGTCTTTGCTTTTGAGATCACAAGAAAATATATTTTCTATTCTTTTCAACGTGTTCCCAAGTGTGTTTAAGAGAGCGAGGACATTTACTCATTACTTTACTGGAAAAATTTATGTTACTTTTAGTTTGACTGGAATAAAAAAAAACATGTAAAAATAAAATAAAAAATGGCTAAGGTATATTTTATTAGCCCCCTATTATTAGAAATAATTCTAGCAATTCACTTGCTTTATGCTGAATATTAGTATCTTGCAAAATAACTAGTAAAATATCATGTACTGTCATCATGACAAAGACAAGAGATCAATAATTATGTTTACAAATGTGCTGAAAAATTTCTCCGGTAAACATTCATTCATTTTCCTACAGTTTAGTCCCTTATTTATCAGGGGTCACCACAGTGGAATGAACCGCCAACTCTTCCAGCATATGTTTTACGCAGCGGATGCCCTTCCAGCTGAAACCCAGAACTGGGAAACACCCACACACACTCATTCACACTACAGCTAATTTTGTTTACCCAATTCCGCTATACCGCATGTGTTTGGACTGTGGGGGAAACCGGAGCACCCGGAGGAAACCCACACCAACATGGGGAGAACATGCAAACTCCACACAGACACATCCGGGATTCGACCCAGCAACTTTCTTGCTGTGAGGCCACAGCCACTGTGCCACCTCTCTGTTAAACAACACTTGGTAAACATTAAATAATAATTAATATATAAATACATATATAAATATATATATATATATATATATATATATATATATATATATATATATATATATATAAATATATATATATATATATATATAAATAAATACATACATACATATATATATATGTATGTATATATATATATGTATGTATATATATATAAATACATATATATATATATATATATATATATATATATAAATACATATATAAATACATACATATATATATATACATATATATATATATATATATATATATATATATATATATATAATAACTTTGTCTTCAGCCAATAAATGGCCAGGTCATGTATGGGACAAATCAAATGATATATGGGACATCCCAGATAAATAAAACAATGCTTTAATTCATGAACACAATCTGCTTTTTTCCATTTTAGACTAATAAGTAAATCCTGTGTCCAGTGTTGCTATACAGTACTAAGAACATTCTGTGCCACAAGAACCTGAACAGCTCCAAATCAGCAGGTTTCAGGTTTTCTTTTATTCAGCTCTGAGAATGAAACTTTCTCTGTGACCTGATATGGTGAAACTAGTCTACTTAAACTGTGTACGGCCTGTACACTGGTGTAAGGCATCAACAAAACCTTACAAGGCTTTGGTTTCATATGTTGCGCTAAATACACAGCAGCGCGACGCAGTAATGCAGTGGGTAGTGCTGTCGCCTTACAGCAAGAAGGTCGCTGGGTCGAGCCTCGGCTCAGTTGGCGTTTCTGTGTGGAGTTTGCATGTTCTCCTTGCGTTCACGTGGGTTTCCTCCGGGTGCTCCGGTTTCCCCCACAGTCCATAGACATGCGGTACAGGTGAATTGGGTAGGCTAAATTGTCCGTAGTGTATGAGTGTGTGCGAGAATGTGTGTGGATGTTTCCCAGAGATGGGTTGCGGCTGGAAGGGCATCTGCTGCGTAAAAATGTGCTGGATAAGTTGGAGGTTCTTTTCACTGTGGCGATCCTGGATTAATAAAGGGACTAAGCCGACAAGAAAAATGAATGAATGAATACACAGCAGCGGGTATTACTGGCAGGCACTGCCCAGTGGGCGATATACACAGGGGACTTCTAATTTGAAAAAGCCAACTCAGGCGCTACTGTTGAACTGTTACACCATTATAAAACTGCTGCATTTAAGATCTGGTTTGTATAAAATCAATGCTTTTCATTGCTTGATTGATATACAATATAAAGCAGGTCTCAAACCAGACGAGAAGCTCTGCATTAAATTACACTGTTCTGCTCCATGTCTTTAAAATATGGAAATTTATAGTATTTTCAATGGATTTTCAGCACTATTACTCCTGATGGCGCATTTAAATGACTTTTCGTCTCGTTTTATGCTTGAAGAACAAAATTAATGCTGACGCCTATTTAACTGAATAAATTATGATTAAATGGCATTATCGATCCTGTAAAAGGAACTTCATGACATTACATATATCACATCAAACTTTCACCAGAAGTTTCTTCATAATAATAGTCTCTTAGCTTGTACTTCCACCTATTCCTACCATGATGTCATAGATATATACATTAGATGTTGCCTACCCTGTTGTTGTCTATTGGAAGGAATGCGTCAATAGAGCTGCCATTTTGGAACAGGGTAGCGCTCCTTTGAAATGAATGCCGGACCGAGCTGCAGTGGAGGACTGTGGCCATCCAAAGCCAGAGATATACACATATATCTATGATCGGGAGTTTTCCTGGATGGCAGTATGCATTTATTTTTTTAAATTACGAAAATTACAATTTTACATCACTTTTCTGCATTGATGGATGAGTGAGAAGCATTCCTGACAAAAAGCTTGTGTTTGTGTGTATGGAAATGTACTATCCACTCTCCCTGTTAAATTTGATCTAATCCGTGTCCTGAAACACAGCTCCTCTCCTGCTTTCACTCCTCATACTGACGGAGGGAGCGATTCGTTTGCAAATTAATCTCCAATATGAACCACTCCTTCACTTAGCGGACAATAGTACAAGTTTCTGGCAGCGCAGCATCTCGTTGTCACATTTCTTTTGCATTGTTTGCTGATTTTATTCAACAAAACTAGCATAAGCCGAGTGTTTAGTGCGAGTTGGAGCTGCTTTGCCTCATGCTGAATGCAGTAAGTGACTGTTATCATCAATAACATTACCTGATTAACACAAAAGCTCAGAACATACAAAAACAGAAAAAAACTTAATATTACCTATGAAATGTTCTGCCTTTGTGCTTTGTTTTCTTTGTTTGCTCGTTACTACACCCGTAGACAGCGCTAAAGTCCCGCATCTTCACGTAATAACACTGTCTTGACTAGTGCGGCTGAATGACATTTGTCCTGGGAGCACTGTACCAATGTGGCGGCGCTATTGACGCATGCTGTGGGTCCCTATGCAATACCTAGTGTATATATCTATGTCATGATACCACTTGTGTCTGCCATCTCAATGAATTGTATGTTTAAATTAGTTTCAACAACTCTTGTTTCTTTTACATACAGTAATATTGGTATTATAGTTTTGTCAGTACACAATATTTAAAAGTCAGGACAGCTATATCTATTTTAGTTACATCGATTTGTTCATTGTATAATTTTTGTATTGTTTTTAGGGAGACAATCTTACAATCTTTCCAAGGACAAACTGATGAAAAAATGGCTAAATGTGGTGCATTTGCAGCAATGTTAATTAATGCACTCTGTCCCTGCCATATGACCTAATAAGCAGGGCCAGACAAAATCTGCGGACGTTTTTTGCTATTTCTGCAGAGAATTTTGGTAAAAATCTGCGTATTTCTGCGGAATTATTTTGGGAGCATCCAGCGGAGTATCATAACTAAAACCTTAATATATGAAATAAAAAGTAATAAATTACTGAATAAATTCAGATTTACACATTTACTCAAGTAAATAAACAGAATTAATAATAGGCTTAAAATCTGCAGAAATCTGCGCGTGCAGATACTGTGTGGGCCTACATATAAGTAAATACAGCCCATTGCTCCCATGACTTTGTTGTTGCTTTACTATTTGAACTATATGTGAAACACTGCAGCTCGAGTCCAGTCATGAAGAGCTCTTTGTTAATATGCTCCATGATGTTAAACAGACCCAAACAGTTTACCAACAGATTCTGAAGATGAACTTCATCCAGAATGCAGGATCCTGTGGTGAAGTGAACAACAGACTCATTCACTGCGATGACCAGCAGTCCGTTACATCCACAAACAACATCACTGGGTAATAACAGCTCCAGCTTAAAACTGATCATCTACCCAGAGAATCTCCTCAAGAAAATGAGCATCGTTATTAAGACTGAGGTCATGAACATCAGCTTTTGTTTCGTGTAAACAAATGATAATAACCAAAAGCAGGCAGTAGAGCATGGGGAATTGATCTCAACATCAAGTCTATGTGCAAAATAAATGGAGCACAAAACAACACTGTAAAAATACATAGAAATTAACCGTACTCCATGTTTTTTGTATGTTTGTTTATGCTTTTGAATTATGTAGGACATTATTAGGACACTTTTAGGACATCAATCTCTCCTCTGGCAAATTTTAATGTTGATAAAGTGACTTTTATTGACATATACATAGAGTAGTTTAATTGTTTGAATCTTGTAAGGTACAAAAACCAGAGGCCGGATTCACAAGTCCTTAAAAAGAAACCACATCCTGCACACATTACATAGTCCTGCGGAGGAAGAGGATACAGGTACTTGGATTTGTCAGCCGCTTTAGACACTGTAAACCACCAGATCCTGGTTTCTACGCTTGAGTCACTGGGCGTTGCAGGCACTGTTATTCAGTGGTTCAGATCTTACCTCTCTGACAGGTCATTCAGGGTGTTTTGGAGGGGAGAGGTGTCCAACCTACAGCATCTAAACACTGGGCTACCACAGGGCTCTGTTCTTGGGCCACTTCTGTTCTCCATCTACACATCATCTTTAGGATCAGTCATCCAGAAACATGGATTCTTCTACCACTGCTATGCTGATGATACCCAGCTATACCTCTCTCTTCACCATTTCACACTGGATGAAAGATCATCATCTTCAGCTTAACCTCACGAAAACAGAAATGCTTGAAGTTTCTGCCAACCCGACTCTACATCACAACTTTTCAATCCAGATGGATGGGGCAACCATTACTGCATCCAAAATGCTGAAAAGCCTTGGAGTAACGATTGATGACCAACTAAACTTCTCTGACCACATTTCTAGAACTGCTCGATCTTGCAGATTCACATTCAGAAATATGTTAATTTAAAAAATCACGAGGAACACAATAAATAATGTTTGTTGTATTGTCTGAAATGAAACAAATGTCAAAATAAATTTAGAAATCACTTTATTGTTTTTTTTATTTGCATTTCCCAACCTTTTTCTGATTTGGGGTGGCATTTAAAAGTGTGTATTATTACAATATCTTACTTACTTCACTTTAAATTAACACATTTGGCATATCAGTTTGTGTTTCAGATGTAAATATCAACAGCTCTTGCCTAGTTAAGTATTTATTTCTTTTCTCACCATTCATTCATTCATTAGTTTTCTTGTCGACTTAGTCACTTTATTAATCCGGGGTCGCCACAGCGGAATGAACCGCCAACTTTTTACACAGCGGAAGCCAATTTCTGGGAAACATCCACACACACTCATTCACACACACACACACACACTCATACACTACGGACAATTTAGCCTACCCAATTCACCTGTACTGCATGTCTTTGGACTGTGGGGGAAACTGGAGCACCCGGAGGAAACCCACACGAGCGCAGGGAGAACATGCAAACTCCACACAGAACCGCCAACTGAGCCGAGGCTCAAACCAGCGACCTTTTTGCTGTGAGGCGAACGTGCTACCCATGGCGCCACCGTGCAATTAATTGCAATAAAAAAATCTGACTACTTTTGGATTACAATTAGATTCCTTTGGTGCTATAACCTTTATTTGATGTCACATATATTGAAGCAGGATAATCTTGTACTATTTTGATAGATACAAGAAAAATATATACATTTTTATTTATTTATTTATTTATTTATTTATTTTTTATCAGTGACATCTTATTTTTAAAATGCAGTGATGCACTTCAAAATCCCCACAGTAATACATCTTATTGTTAGTGTTAGCGGACAATAACACAGAATAAAACTAAATCACATCTTATGATTTTAAAATATTAAAAATCTAAATATTAAAATATTAAATTCATAATTTGCCCCAATATTGGGGCGATGCAGTGGCACAGTAGGTAGTGCTGTCGCCTGATAACAAAAAGGTTGCTGGTTCGAGCCTCGGCTGGGTCAGTTGGCGTTTCTGTGTGGAGTTTGCATGTTCTCCCTGCGATTGCAAGGGTTTCCTCCGGTTTCTCCCGTAGTCCAAAGACATGCGGTACAGATGAATTAGGTAGGCTAAATTGCCTGTAGTGTATGTGTGTAAATGAGTGTGTATGGATGTTTCCCAGTGATGTGTTGTAGCTGGAAGGGCATCAGCTGCGTAAAAACGTTGGCGGTTCATTCCACTGTGGCGACCCCAGATAAATAAAGGGACTAAGCCGAAAAGAAAATGAATGAATGACAACCATTATTGATTGCATATGACAGTATCAATGAAAACATCAACAATTAAAGCACTGCAATATTATAAGCGGGAGGTTGGTTATTATGAAAAACTAAATGTTTAAAAAAAACATACAAACATAATCACGTAATCCATCCGAAAGCAACTGTAGTCTGATTACAAGTATTGTAATAAGTACTTTGCACTAATTACAATTACTTGAGTTTTGGAGTCTGATTAGGTAATCCAGATTACAATAAATCCAATATGATCCAGCTCTAGGCATTGCCCATTTTTCAGTGAAATTACCATCATGACAGTTGACCATTGACTCGCTGACTGAATTAAGTTCAGATGAGTTACATGCATATTAAAAACATCAGTCTGTCATGTCTTTGCTGTGGCTGAATCCTCTACACATCATAAAGCTGAAAGGTCGAAGACGTTCGGGATGCAAACAGTGATCTGCCAGGTCTATATGTCTCTAATTGGCCTTTAAAATGTCACCAGCTGTTGACAGCAAATTAATGAAGCAGTGGAGTGACGAGCGGTCGAGAGAGCACAATACATGAGCTGGTGCTGAAAGCTTCATGTGTGAATACAGAACACAGACAGTCTCTAAACTGCAAGAGATAAAGAAAAAACATCGCAATGTCTGTTTTTTCCAGTATTGTGCAGCCCTTTGTGCTTATTCACAGATGCTGACATGAGGGATTACTGTACGTCACTCACCTGTGTGGATGATGGTATGCGATTACGGTCACCTATGGGAGAAGAGAAAGAGGACAGTCAGACGACAGCATACAGCGAGCTCTACACATCCCTTATGTAATCGACTAGACAATCTGCAGAGCTGTTTGTTCTTACATAAACACACTGAAGGCTGCAAATGCAAGATGAAAATCAGGGTTATTTCAGTACAGCCACAAGGGTACCTTTCTGACCCCAAAAGCTCACAGAATTAAATGTGCTTTCACACCTGTGAATCGATTCAGTTGTTCCGAAACGGAGATTACAATTGTTACATTGTTGCTCTTGGAGCGGTTCGCTTTCACACTGCAAAGTTTCTAATCGGACCAAAAGAGCTAAAACAAGTCACGTGTGAGTAAACTCTCCTCACATTGGTGAGTGTCAGGGTTTATTTTGCAGCGTCCTGCTCAGCTGTCAGGAAAGGTGGTGGTTTGGTGGTGATTGACAAGGTGCGCGCTAGAGATGCGCGGATGGGCTAGTATTTCATCCGCAACCGCATGACAAAATTCATCAGAAGTCCGCCATCCATCCGCACTAACATTTTTGACCAATTTTTAAAACCGCACCCGCCCGCCATCTGCTGATTGGGCTCTTTATTTGAATGGCTTATTCCTTTTTATTATTAAATGAATGTTTCTTTATTGATCATTATAGAATAGAGAATGACTTTAATGTAGACATGCAGTTAATCCAAACGTGCAATTGAAGACGCTTTGAAGTGACGCTAAAGATACGAAGACGTGTCTTTTCACTTGATTCGATTCCTCGGTCCAAGAGTCTTTTCCTTGCGTCCTTCCCTCGTACCGTTATCCCGGTGGGGTGGAAACACGGGAAAGAAAGCAAGGAAAGGAAACGAGGATGCACAAATAAGAAATGAGAAGCACCCGAGCTCACGGCAGATTCGGACAGATGAAAATCACAATGCATCTCTGTAAAACTGACATTTCTCCAACATAGGCTCATTCTGAAAACGTAGCCCTATATATATTTCTGGAGATCGTGAATTATGTAGCCAGAGGTGTGTATGGCTGCATTTCGTCTTTTAAACGAACGCTACAGGGCGGTATGGCACTGTTACTTTTCGTGCTTACCAGCTGACCTCAGTGTTGACAGCTTTCTTGCTGTTACCAGTTTTGTCCAGTCGCTTGCTATGTACGTAAACGGACTTGAGATGCAGAGAGGAGTTGACTGTGATAATGGGGTTTGACTCTGGTGAAGAACGGTTCTAGAAAGCAGGTAAGACCAAAATAAGCCAAAAAATAAAATAAAGTAAATAACAGGATGAGAATGTGGTACAATCTGAAAACACTTGATTCGAACAGTGCCACTAATACACTCTGCTCCACACTAGCATCATGTCTAGACCGATTATGTCCTCTTGCATCCAGGCCAGCCCGTGCCAGTCCTCCTGCACCCTGGCTCTCGGATGCTCTCCGTGAGCATCGCTCAAAACTTCGGGCTGCGGAGAGAATTTGGCGGAAAACTAAAAATCCTGCACATCTCTTAACATACCAAACTCTTCTGTCCTCTTTCTCAGCTGAGGTTACTTCTGCAAAGCAGACGTATTACCGTCTGAAAATCAACAATGCCACTAATCCTCGCCTACTTTTTAAAACATTTTCCTCCCTCCTCTATCCTCCTCCTCCACCCGCATCCTCCACACTTACTACTGATGACTTTGCTACATTCTTCTGCACCAAAACTGCAAAAATCAGTGCTCAATTTGCTGCACCTACAACAAACATGCAAGATACAACACCAACACCACACACACTCACCTTTTTTTCTCAGCTCTCTGAGTCTGAGGTGTCCAAACTTGTGCTATCTAGCCATGCAACCACCTGTCCACTCGATCCCATTCCCTCTCATCTCTTGCAAGCCATCTCTCCTGCAGTCATACCAACACTGACTCACATAATTAACACATCTCTTGACTCTGGTTTATTCCCCACTACATTTAAGCAGGCTAGGGTAACCCCACTGCTAAAGAAACCCAACCTGGACCATACGCTACTTGAAAACTACAGACCAGTATCCCTGCTTCCATTCATGGCCAAGATTCTGGAGAAAGTAGTGTTCAATCAAGTCCTGGACTTTCTTACTCAAAACAATCTCATGGACAACAAGCAATCCGGCTTTAAGAAAGGCCACTCAACTGAGACTGCCCTGCTCTCGGTCGTGGAGGATCTCAGACTGGCTAAAGCAGACTCTAAATCATCAGTCCTCATTTTGCTGGACTTGTCAGCTGCTTTTGACACTGTCAACCACCAGATCCTGCTATCTACGCTTGAGTCACTGGGCGTTGCGGGCACTGTTATACAATGGTTCAGATCTTACCTCTCTGACAGGTCATTCAGGGTGTCTTGGAGGGGAGAGGTGTCCAACCTACAGCATCTAAACACTGGGGTACCTCAAGGCTCTGTTCTTGGGCCACTTCTCTTCTCCATCTACACATCATCTCTAGGACCAGTCATCCAGAGACATGGATTCTCCTACCACTGCTATGCTGATGATACCCAGCTATACCTCTCTTTTCATCCTGATGATCCCTCGGTTCCAGCTCGTATCTCAGCCTGCCTGTTGGATATTTCACACTGGATGAAAGATCATCATCTTCAGCTGAACCTCGCAAAAACGGAAATGCTTGTAGTTTCTGCCAACCCGACTCTACACCATAACTTTTCAATCCAGATGGATGGGGCAACCATTACTGCATCCAAAATGGTGAAAAGCCTTGGAGTAACGATTGATGACCAACTAAACTTCTCTGACCACATTTCTAGAACTGCTCGATCTTGCAGATTTGCACTCTATAACATCAGAAAGATCCGACCCTTCTTATCTGAACATGCAGCTCAACTCCTTGTTCAAGCTCTTGTTCTCTCCAAACTGGATTACTGCAACTCTCTACTAGCTGGGCTTCCAGCTAACTCTATCAAACCTCTTCAGCTGCTCCAGAATCCAGCAGCACGAGTTGTCCTCAATGAACCTAAACGAGCACATGTCACTCCGCTGCTAGTCCGTTTGCACTGGCTGCCAGTTGCTGCTCGCATCAAATTCAAAACTCTGATGTTTGCCTACAAAGTGACTTCTGGCCTAGCACCTTCTTATCTGCACTCACTTCTGCAGATCTATGTGCCCTCCAGAAACTTGCGTTCTGTGAAGGAACGTCGCCTCGTGGTTCCATCCCAAAGAGGGAAAAAATCACTTTCGCGAACGATCACGCTCAATCTGCCAAGTTGGTGGAATGAACTCCCTAACTGCATCAGAACAGCAGAGTCACTCGCTATTTTCAAGAAACGACTAAAAACTCAACTATTTAGTCTCCACTTCCCTTCCTAATCTGCAATTGCCTCTTTGAATATCACACTAACTGTACAAAAAAAAAAAACTACTAATACTTCCCTTCTTAGACTTTACACACCTGAAACTTGCCTTTAGTACTTATTCATTGTTGCTCTTATAGTTGTGTAAATTGCTTCCTTGTCCTCATTTGTAAGTCGCTTTGGATAAAAGCGTCTGCTAAATGACTAAATGTAAATGTAAATGTAAAACATGGTAAAATTCGAGGGTTTTTCTTTTTCTGGATTGCTTTTCAAAACACTGTCAGTTGGGTTTAGGGAAATGGGTGGGCACTGGTCAATCGGTGCTTTTGAAAACTGATTGGACTGAGGAAAGGAGGAGGGTAGGTCATTCAATCGGTCAGTCAGTCGACAGCGGCCTCTGGTGAATTTATGCGAGAACAGCAGGCGTGAATGGCACTCGTGAGAGAAATTTGAGATGTGTAAAAGCACGAAAAGCGGCCTCTGTTGGATTCGCGGAAACAAAAACTGCAAAAGAACGTAGCTCCTGGGACATATTTGGCGCTCTCCAGAAATGTGTATAGGGGTATGTTTTTCAAAATGAACCTGGGTTGAATTTCTCCCAGCAAAACTAGTCTCGTCCAAACAGCACTTAACTTGAACATATGAATTGTTAATTTTAAGACAAAGAAAATAAACATTGTAAGTTTTGATTTGGTGTGGACTTTAATCTCAGCCTATTCTTTGCAGCAGTACAGAGCAAAGTCAGCAAAGAAACAGATTTCTGCTGTTATTTTGCAGTGGATGGCGGATAAGGAACATCAATAATCACCAGCACTGTGGACAACGCAACAACTCTGCCTTGAACCTGCTTTCTCCACAAGACATATCGATCTCCACACCACATCTCACACAGGAGACATTTATTAAAAGGCAAACCAAGCAGCTCTCCTGTGGGAATATCATTGAGCAAAGCCAAATCACAAATCTCAACAGACTCTGTGTTTCTCTTGGAAAACACTCCAAAACACTTTACCTGAAGGGGTGTTCATAGGACATGCCATCGATGCTGAAACCATATATTGTGCAGCCCTAATCTGAGTTTTTATAGTCCACATTAACAACTCTTGAGTCTTCATCAGCGTAGGTTTGCAAAGTCAACGGTCTTCAGAGCTATGAAGAGAAACCTCTGAGCAATAAAATCATTCTCTAAAATGGCAATCTGCCAGCAACAAATATCTCAATCTGTGAACGCGCAGATAAGCTGCAGCGAGCACATTTCATTATTATCAGCTGCACTTAAATCTGTGAAACAATTAGAGCGTTAGTGATATCACGAGCCCATAAAGGGATAGTTCACCCAAAAAGAAAAATTCATGTATTCACCTTCCGCTTGTTTCAAACATGTTTGTCTTTCTCATGTTGAACACCAAAGAAGATACTTTGAAACATGCTGAAAACCTGCAAACATCGACTTCCACAATGTTTGGTTTTCCTACTATAAAAGCCAATGGTTACAGGTTTTTAGCATTCTTCAAAATACCTTCTTTAGTGTTCAACAAAATAAAGAAGCTCATAAAGGTTTAGAAACGCTTGAGTGAGAATAAATGGTGAGTAAATTTTCACTTTTGGTTGAACTATCCCTTTAAACTGAACCCGAGTTTGATTTTAAAAGACATCATGCTAAATTTCATTTGAATTGTATTTGTATC